TATTAAATATATTAATATTAAAATTTAAAAATCAAGTATATATTTTAATATAATCTGTTTTAAAATTTAAATATTAATATTTAATTTAATAAGATAAATTTTAAAATTTTAAATTGAGTTTTAATTAAATAAAATAATATATTTAAAATTATTTTGAGAGTTAAGATTAGTATGTATATTTTTTTATAATATATGAAAAAATAATTTATTATTAATTTTAATTTATTAAATAAAAAATATAAAGTATTTTTAATTATTTAATTAAATAAAATTAAGTTAGGTTAACAAAATACTAAATGGCCATAAAGATGGCATGGCGTTGATTATAAAACCAGAGAATCAGGTGATATTTGTGGAGAGCAAATAGCCTGTGCGGCATGCGAGGCCTGATTCAATCTGGCTTTGCCACGTAAAAGGTATTTCAAGGAATTCAACACTGAGAGCCCACCTCCAAATTTTCAACTTTTGGTCCCACAGAGCGGAGGCCCGAGTACCTGGCGGCTGGCGGCGATGATGGCCGTGCGTCGACTGTCGAGAAGCTGGCAACGGCCGACGGCACTGTCCAAACTGTCAGCTTTTTCTTTATGCCCAAGCCCACGTTAAATGAAACGCCATTAATCATTAAACCATGAGCCCGGGGGCGCTTACAAGGACCCATATTGGCCCACAGATAAAATACCACTTCGCCATAACCCAATGAGAAAAACGTAATATCAATGATTTGTTGATATGATGGAAAGGAAATTAGTTTTTTTAATTAAAATTTTAAATTAAAATTTTTTAAATAAAAAAAAATTTTTAGAGAGTTTTTTTTTTTTTTTTTTTTTATATAAAATCTAATGCAACTCAATTTTAAATTAATTAGATCTAGAGTTTATTTGGTACAGCGGTTAAAATTCAATAAATAACAGGTAACAAATAACAGATAGCGAGTGACGGATGGCAGATGATAGATAACGAAAAGTAGGTAACAAATGATATATAACAAATTTGATAAATATAATTGTTTGGCTATACAATCGTTAACCGTTGTTATTTAACATTAAATGACTAATAATAACATATTTAAAAACAAATAAGTGTATTTTTTAAAATATTTTTATTTTTTATTATTAAAATTATTAATTTT